CTCAAAGCGGTCCCTCCTCTACAGCCTTGTTAACGGGAGTTAAGGGAAGTCTCTTTTTTAGTAGCATGAGTGGAAGCTGATAAAGTATAATCATAAAAATGTTCTTGGCATCTATTCGGGAAATAATAATAGGTTACAAATAATTCAGCATAAGTGCAGTTTAAAGATCCGCAACTTTTGATTATTTGCACCTCATTAGAAAAGTACGAAAGCATTAAGCGCACGATGGAGCAATGTGTATTCAGAAATCAATGACTGGAATCATCAGCTTCACGGCTTTATGGTGCGGAAAAACTTTCTATGCTTGAACTTAAACACTCTTAAATTAACTCACTTTCGCTGCAGCGGAATTGATGTTAGTCTGCACCAGAATAGTTTTTCGTGCTGGAACAAGAGGAACTGAGAGCTCATTTTATGCTGCCATCCTTTTGTACGTGAGAAATCAGTTCCCATGAATTTGACATGAGGGAAAGATTAACACAAACAAACATTTGTTGAGACAAGTGCGTTCACAAACGATCATATTACGGTTGTATCAGTTGTATTTTCAGTCAACTTACGAAGCGCGAATTTCGATGCTCGCTCGCGAGAATGAAATGTTCGTGAGGAAGCTTGATCAAATGGAGAAGGAGCGTCAATCAATGTACTGGGTTGCGCTCAAGAAAAGCAAAGAAACAGCTGCACAAGACATTCAGCAGGTTACGTCTTATTTTAGCCTTTCAGAAGTCATACAGTTTTGCCTTTCGGAAGACAATGCTGCACAATTTACGTAACTTTGGATTCATATTCATGGCGTACTCGTAAAAAATTCAAAAGTCCTACGGTGGAAATTTTCCTTGCACCATGTTTCTGGGCTTACACCGTTTATGTCGGAACTCAGTCCGCATAAACGACCCGTGGTAGGCCAAAACACTCGGAAAGTAGCTTAATAAATTCAAACGGCAACTGTCCGTTGGCAAAGTTCTCTGTTTGAGAAGTTACTGACAGGCAAATTGGGTTTCACTCTCTCTGAAATACAGAGATGTTGGTTGTCCTAATCAGTGAAGTGGAACCCACGATATTGCTGCACCTTCACTGTGCTACTCTCCAGTGCGCCAGGCTCATCAGCAGGCGAGAGAAAAGCCGTCACACAGAATGCATTTGATCTTACCAGTATCAATCTGTGGAAGATAAAAAGTGTTGTACTCTAAAATTTTTGAGTATACTGCCGCTAGTCCAGATATCATTAAAATTAACGCAGACTTCTTTTTTGAATTCAACACAGAATCCAGCATCAGCGCGCCTCTAAAAAGCCTCGTCAATAGACATATGTTGTTAGCAGATAACATGCGGTTTTCAGGTCCTTCTGCCTTTCATAGAGAGTTTTACAAGGACAGCAAG